TTGCTTTTCCCGCATCTCAAAGGAATTCCTGGAGGAAACAATCATGTGCCAGGCACATCCTAGAGTGTCAGTGATGGAAGGGACTTTCCAGGATTTCTCCACCTGCTCATTTATCTGGCATATTTTTTAAGGTCAGCAGAGGAAAAAAAGTAATCATACCAGTCACCTTTCAAACTGGCCAAAAAAGCCCAGGGGAGTCAAAAGTGCAAACCAGTGGCAGCCCCTTAACAGGAAGGGGGGCTTTCTTTACGTGGTTCCTTTTCCCACATCTCTTCCCAAAGCTTCCCAGAGCCCAGGAAGAAGTGTACCTGATGAGGCTAGGGTGTCTCCCCAATAAATCTGCCTTCAAGCTGACTTTCTGGAAAACCATTTCCAGTCATCTGTACTGGCCCCACCCTCTCTGGCTAGGGGACATTTTTCAGGATGAACATACCTTGTGACTCTGACTTTGATGGAGGACAAGGAGTGCCCATATTCTTGGAGGGATGGGCTGCCTAAATGTGCCCGACATCACTTCACCAAATCCTGGCTGGTTCAAGGGATGGTCCATCCGGGCTCCACCACAGTTGGCCTGGCCATAATAAGGCACCTCTCGGTATTTCTCAGACCATTGACTTAGACAGTTCATCTTAGTGATGAAGTGAACAAAAGTTAGTTCATCTAACTTTTGGTGAGTTTGGCTAAATTTTTAGTTTGAAATATGCAGGTAAACTATTTCCAAACATACCTCTTCACCATTGTCCTTAAAGCACAGAGATAACTGTATTGAAAAGAGAGGCTTTACTGGAAGAGAAAATAAAGTTGGGAGGTATGTCGAGCCAGCATAGACTGTAGAGCCAGCTTCAAAGGGAGGAAATTGGGGTTTTTTTTATGCTTCCGAGAGCTGCTAGAGATAATCTATAGACTACATATACATATATATGTATATATATATATATATATATATATATATATAGGATAATTTCTCTTCTCTCCCGGAAGAGAACAACGCAGAGTCTCCTGCCCCCGCGCCTAGCTGTCCTCACTGGGGCCCCTTGGAGGGGGGTGGGTTGATTTTCTCTCTCCACTCTGAGCAGAGCCCCAGCAGCTGAAGACCTCCAGGACCCAGCCACAGCCATGGTGAGACCACTCTCCACACACTAGGACGGGCCTCACGCATGAAGGAACTGGCAGAGAAACCCAGGTGTGTGGACCTGGGGCTGAGATCTCCAAGCCTCCTCGATTCAGGACTGGGCCTCCTCCACCCAGATCCCCCATCTTCCAGTAGCTAGACAGTTAAACCCACCAACTGCCATGTAACCCCATCAATGGCCAAGATCCAGAGACTATAAAACCAAGCTCCTGGAAGTGCACGGCCACATTTGTAGCTGCATGACTTCTTATTGTCTAGTTCTCACTCTCAGAGAACCCAGCAGGCTACCGAGTCTCCTGCCCACATATGTTCCTGACTGGGAACACTGTAAAGGTAATTAGAGGCTGCCCCAAAAGCCTCCATCCCTCTCAGAAAGCCCGACAAGCTACCAAGAGTATCCCGCCCATATGGCAGAGCCTGGCAAGCTACCTGTGGCATACTCGATATGCCAAAAACAGTAACAATGATGGTCTTCATTCCCCTGACCCTGAAAGAGCCCCCAGTATGCCATCGGGCTACACTAGCACATGACAGGAATGAATGGAGACGTTACTGGTGCCCGCTCAAGCAAATTGATGAACAACGGGGTGATAGTGATAGTGATAGTGATAGGATAATTTTCCAGATAATTATTCATACCTATGAGGAAAATGGGCATGCGCAGTTGAAGAACATATAATGGACAAATACCACATGTAAGGAAAATGGCAAAGAAACAAGATCATTGTTTTTTTTACTGTGGTAATGAGAAGTTGACTATAGTTGGAGGAAGGTTGCTTCTGCAGTCTCTGCTGACCCAGTACTGTCCAGGCAGGGCTCTCAGCTTCTTAGCAGTATAAAGGTATTATTTTGTTTGTTTGTTTGTTTGTTTGGAGCCACACCCAGCAGCCACACCCTGACCTTGTTCAAGTATCACTTAGGGCGGGCTCTGGGGATCATATGGGATGCTACAATTCAAACCAAGGTCGGCCATGTGCAAGGCAAGCACCCTACCTGTACTTTTTGTTTTCTTTGACCCAGGAAGCCAAGGACACAGCAGTGCTAGAACTAACTGGCTATGAATACTAAAGATGCTTAAAATATTGGTCTATGAGATTCTGCAGAATAGCAAAAACAAGTTCATGTGAGGCTCTGGGAGGGTTATCAGTTACTGTGACACTAAAGCCATCAATTTCCCTGCCATCAGAATGATAGGACTATTGAAACGGATAGCCCTTTACTGTCCAACACCACTTGAAGGCACCATGGCTCTTTCCAGAGAGAAGCCAGGATTTGGTCAAGCACAGAATTTAGCTCAGATGGCAGAGGAGGAAAGCAAGTCTAATCTGAGGTCTAGGGAAATAGAAGACACAGAATGTGTGGGATAGCGGTGAGTTATGGATGACTAAGTTACAAGGCTGGAATGGAGAACATCAGACCCTCCAGAAGACAGAAACCTGTGTCATTCAGAATGGACTAGGTTGTGCTGCAGCATCACCCCTGAAATTTTAACTTGATAAGTTGTATTTCTCACTCAGCCCACATCCGACTCAGATCAGCAGATTGGACCTGCTCTAGTTTCTCAAAGAAAAAAACTGAGGTAAGGGAGAAAGAGACTCTCCTTCACTGCTGGTGGGAATGCCGACTGGTTCAGCCCTTTTGGAAAACAGTATGGATAATTCTCAAAAAATTAGAAATGAGCTCCCATTTGACCCAGCAATACCATTCCTGGGAATATATTCCAGAGAGGAAAAAAAGTATAGTCGGAGTGACATCTGCACTTTTTTTTAAGTGTAAGAGTACTGCTATTTATTCAACCACTGATTAGGCTGATTGAATTGTGCATGAACTCCACCTTACCTTTTTTTCCATTTTTTATAATTTTATTTAGTGAATCCCCATGAGAGCAGTTACAAAGCTTTCGGGTTTAAGTCTCGGTCATACAATGAAACACCCGTCCCTTCACCAGTGCCCATTTTCCACCACCAAAAACCCCAGTATACCTCCATCCTACACCCTCCCCCTACCTGTGGGGCAGATGATTTCCACAACTCTCTCTCTACTTTGATTACATTCAATATTTTGACACCAGATCCACCATTATCATTTGGCATTTTACCCCAACGCTCAGATCTGCCAAAAAGGCAACAGTAGACAATTTGTTTTCTGGTTGCTGGTCTGCTGGTTATAAATAACATATGACTTTGGAATTCCGAAATTTTGACAATTAAATTTGGAGGGATTTCTGCCAAAACCTGCTGGGTTCCGAGATTTCTTCCTGAGTCTCTGGGAACATGGCCGTTAAGCAGTTTGATGACAACTGTACTTATATGTTCATTGCTGCACTGTTCACAATAGCCAAAATCTGGAGAAAAAAACCCGGGTGCCCAAGAACAGATGACTGGTAAAAGAAACTTTGGTACATCTACACAATGGAATACTATGCAGCTGTTAGAAAAGATGAAGTCATGAAATTTGCATACAAGTGGTTCTATCATGCTAAGTGAAATGAGTCAGAAAGAGAAGGACAGACATAGAAAGACTGCATTCATCTAGGGGAATATAAAGTAACAGAATAGGAGAAGAACACCCAAGAATGGCTGAAATAAGTACCAGGATGTCTGCTCCATGACTTGGAAGCTGGCAGCAGATGCTGGGGGGAAAGGCGGCTTAGATAGAAAAGGGAACACCAAGTAGTGTTTGGAGGATTCACTAGAGATGTGAGATGTGTGTTGAAAGTAGAATATAGACCAAACACGATGGCCACTCAATACCTCTATTGCAAACCACAACACCCTAAAGGAAAGAGAGAGCAAAAGGGAATGCCCTGCCAAAGAGGAGGGGCGGGGTGGGAGTGTTGGGATGGGGGGTAGGAGGGCTAGTGGTGGTGGAGAATGGGCACTGGTGAAGGGCTGGGTACTCAATCATTGTATAACTGAAACCCAAGCACGAAAGTTTGTAAGTCTACAACTGTACCTCATGGTGTTCCACTAATAAAAAAGAAAAATAAAAAAACTGAGTTAAGTGCCATCTCAAAGAAATACATGTGCTTCTAAATCAGCAAAGGCGGACAGAACTCCAGATTCTAGAGTACAGAAGGACACACGCCAGCAATTAAGTGCTGCAGCAGGAGATGACACAAACCATTTCTGCTCATAGCTTGCTGGCCAAAACTAACCATAACTCCACCCACTCATAAGAGGGCCAGGGTTTATTTTTTCCCGCGTCTATAAGAGAACAGGATCTCAGTGGCAACCATAACAACACACACACACACACACACACACACACACACACACACACACACACCCAGAAACTAGATCCCATGACTTTGCAAAATACCTTTTATTTTTCCTATCAACCCTTTGGATATTCCTTCACCTCTTGAAAGATGACACACTCTGAGAGGTAAAGGCAGAATGTAGGGCCTGGCTAGGTAGGAGACTGAACTATGCGGCTTCCTGTCTCAAGAACAACTGATTCAGAGACTCACTGATTCTCCTTCATCCCCCAACCCCCTGTACCTACACACACACACACCCCAAAAAATAAAATGAAAGTTATACAACCAAATTTAAATGAAGTCAAATCTGTTTGTGTTTATTGAACTTGCTGAGCTCAAGGGTAAGGAAGAGGGATAGGACAAGGATTGGGAAAAGACACACCCTACAAATATACATACAGGGCCAGGAAGTCTAGAACTAAGAACTGCAGCTTTAATGTCACATAAACTGGGCCCTAATTCTAATCTCCTCCTAAAGATACTGGAGTCAAAAAGGACCATGAGGCAGAAGATTCTAAGCACACATCTTCTCTTGCCTGATTTCCAGATTCTTCCAGAAAAGGAGCAAGATTTTTTTGAACCCAGGCTAGGAAGACAGTGAAAAGTCAAAGAAAGAGAAAGATTTTGGGGATGAGGAGACCTAAAAAGGAGAATGTAGAGTCCCAAGCTGGGGATCCCAATAGGAAGAGGTAGATTTTCCCAAGAGATGGGAGTAGGAACCTGCCCAGAGCAGGGCAAGGAGTGAGAGGGTTCATTCCTTTTGGAAGGGCTTGTTGTGCATTCATCTTTAGCCAGAAACTTCTCATCCTGGACACTGCTCTGTCCCTCACAGAGCTAGGCCCAGTTCATTCGATGCTACTAGAGTCACTTTAGGTGGAAAAGTGTTCAGAGGAGAAGGTTCAGGTTGACTGAGAACAGAGAAGACAGAAGGGCCTGTAGGACCCTGAGAAGTTGGCCTGTCTCGTACATGTGCCTTTCTTCCAGTGTGACTGAAGGAGCTAGATGGAGACACTGTTTTCTATGAGAGGCGGGTCCAGGTAGAGGTAGGGCAACTCCAGGCCCCGGTTTCGCTCCTGGATGTCTTGTGAGATCTGGGCCAGACAGTTCTGGAAGGCTGCAATGCTCCGGCGTGGGGCCTCCTCAGTGAAGTGCTCATCAGGGTAGGTGCCAAGGGGTCTCTGGGGAAAAAAATCAGGGATGGAATCAGGATGATGTTCAAGATGAAACAGAGACTAATGAAGAACCACATTGTCAATAGATACAGCCCGGGTGACTTCTAAGAAATGACCCATTTACAGCTGCTATAAACACAAACTCTTCAAACCATAACCCCAAAGCAATCTCCAGCCACCAAGACAGAGCAACCCTCCAATGCGGAGGGGGGGTGGGGGGGCTGAGAATGGAATCTGGGAGCCAGCCCACCCAAGGCTAGTACTCCCTCTGCTGGCGAGTCTCAGTATGTTACTCTGACACTTCAGAGTACTTCAGTTTCCGCTGCTGGAAATAGATGAGTTGGTCTAGAAAGCCTACAAAGGCTGCCTGATCCACTATGTCTTGCACTGTAAGAGCACAACATTTATAGTACAACAGAAATCAATAAAAATGCTCTGGTAAACCAATCACCGCCATGCTCATGGCCGATTTCCACAGGCTGGGGATGAGCCTCACCCATGAGAATGAATATGGTGAAAAATTCAGATATGTGGTTTTTGTGACCGAAATCTCCAGGCTCTCACAGAGGTGGGAATGGTGACCTTCACCCATCTTCCCTTTTCTTCTGGGTGCCTGGCCGTCACGCCCACTAACTGCCTCTGGCACCATATGAGATTATTTAACTGTCATGATCCAGAGACTCACAAATAAATCTCAGAAGAGAGCAACAAGCTGCATAGATGCCTCCAGACCCCAAAGTCACCTTCAGTTGTATCACCCAATTTAAACTTTTAGAATTCCTGGAGTGCGCGGCCGCACTCACAGCCATGCAACATTTCATACTCTACTTCACTGTGTACTAAGAGTAGCACACCACATTTGATGGGTAGTAAGATAGAAGGCAAAGGATCTCAGTCAAAAATTAAAATATATACATACAATACATTAATATATATACATATATATTTTAGCATGCAAAGCTAAACCTATAACAACATATTAGTAATCTCTTTTTTAAGGGCTTAATGTCTCCAGGGCGAGATACAACAATCTTCACACACTTTCCTTTATTAAGGAAACTTTTTTGGACCATTTTTAATGGATTATTTATAAAAAGCAATACAAAATAAATTATTTAGGACTGGCTTTTGGGGAAGGATTAGGTGGTGGTGGAAAGTTGTAATAGTGGTGGAATTGGTGTTAGAAGATTGAATTTAATAAATTATTGTGAACAACTTTATAAAAATAAAATTTTAAAAATTTAAATGCTCTGTTAAATATACTCCATTCTACTTTTATCATTTCACCATTTCCCAAATTCAACCCCTTGAACAAGACCACTTTTGCAGCACCTTCTCAATCAGCTGGCATAATGGAACTTTTGTTAACACAATCACCATGCCCATACACTTCACACTACACAGTTTAGCCAACCACAATCAAGAAAAGACACAATGAACAAACCCATCCTGTGACAGTGGAGGACTGTCACCTCTCTATCAGTTGAACATCACAATTCATGACTCCTAACTAAATGATAGAACTGTTCTAATACGAGAAATGCTCAAGACTTTAATGAGACCTTTCTTGTTTAATTGTTGTTATTGTTTTGGGAGCACACCAGGCTATGCTCACGAATACCCTCAGCTGCAGTGCTCAGGGTTGCTCCAGGAGATGACTGGAACATGTGCCATGTCAGAAATCGAACCCAAGACCTTAGACATGCAAGTCAAGAGCCATATCCCCGGCCCTAACATTTACTATCCAAACTCTGTAAGTGAGTTTCATTCTACAGTTTTATTAATCATGAACATTCAGGTTCACTACGTACTCTTTCAGCACATATAAAGATGATTATATGGTGTGTTTCTTTATTGATGTAATGAATTTTGTTGTTAGATTTCATAATATTGAACCAACCTTTCATTCTTTTCATTCTTAGAATAAACTAGGCATTGTGACAGTGTATTATTATTATTTTACTATTCACTATTAGTCTTTATTGTCTGAGGATATATATTTAAGATTGCTGTAGCTAACTAGAACAAATTTATAAGCTTATTTTCTCAATGATAGTAAACTTTGTGAGCACTTTACCATCACAATGGCACAGCAGTCCTATGTGATGGGTATTCTTGTGATCCCACTTTAAAGAGAAGCAAACAGGCATATGTAAAGGCTATAGGAAGATATCTGGACCTGGACTGAAAACCAGCCTACACACTGCTTCGCTTCCTTTGCTGAATGCTTACATGAGGATTCACAGTAAAATGTGGCCCAATCATATGATTTGGAAAGCTTCTGCCTTTTTCTATGCTTTCAAGAAATTTGAATGATTTAGGAATACTTATTACTTACTGCTTTAATAGAATCTCCCTTTTCCATTTGTTTATGGTTTTGTTCTCTTTTGGAGTTGTTTTGGCTGTTTGTTTCCCGATGTGAAACACCTATTTCATCTAGATACAAAATGGTTTCTATCATGATAGCCTCTCAGTGTCTACATTGCAAACCATAATGCCCCAAAATTAGAGAGAGAGTATGGGGGAAATTGTCTACCATAGAGGAAGGAGGAGAGTTGGGATGGGGTAGGGGAAACTGGGAATATTAATGGTAGAAAATGTGCACTGGTGGAGGCATGGGTGTTGGATCAGTGTATGACTGAAACTCAATCATGAAAGCTTTGTAAAATTGCAAATAGTATTTACTTCTATTTTTTTCCATCTTCTTGTAGCTTTGTATACCCTTCTCATCCCTAATATTTCTGTGATTTTTAAATTTTCTTCTTGATTAATATGATTCTGGTTTCCTTATTTTATTACTCTTTTCATAGAATCACATTTTTATGGGCATTTGCATGTTGACATCTAGTTTCAGAAACTATGGTGTATCTATCAAAATAGAAAAAATACAGTAAGAAGTTTGCCACAGGCTGTGAGGTGGAGTAGGGGTGGGGGTAGCGACGGGAATAATGAGAAGGACACTGCAACAACGTGGAAGAAAGTGGCCAGTCTGGAGTAAGAGGGGGTGCTGGAAGGTATGAAGTGTTATACATATAGCCCTATAAGTAACAATACTATAAACCACGTTGCCTAAAAAAATGTGCCTGCCAGAGAGGCAGATTGGTGGGTGGGAGGGTAACTAAAGACATTGTGGAGGGAAGTGGACACTGGTGAAGAGATTGGTACTGGAACACTGTATGCCTGCAACTTAATCATGACTAATTTTGTTAATCATGGTGCCTTGATTATTTTTAGAAATTGGTTTTGTTTGCAGCCACACCTAGTGATGCTCAGGGGTTACTCCTGGCTCTCCACTCAGAAATTATTCCTGGCAGTGCTTGAGGGACCATTTAAGATACCATGGATCAAACCCCAAGTCGTCAGCCACGTGCAAGGCAAAGCCCTACCCACTGTACTATCTCTCTGGACCCTCAATTTTAAAATTATATATATACATATATATATAAAATTCTCCATACATACTCATCTATGTGTGAATCTTCCCATCAGAATTTGATGTTTTCAGTGTTCTGATTTTTGACCACTTTAATTGGATCTGTAATTGGATTTAGTTGTATCTCATGAACATTTGATTTTCATTTCCCTGCTGACATGATGATGTTGAGAGTATCTTTTCATATGTGTATTTGCCTTCATACATTTATCTTTCATGAGATGTCTATTAAGGTATTTAGTCTACTTTTAAGTGAGGTTTGTTTTTCTTAATATCGAGTTTCCAGAATCATTTATTTGAGATAGTGATCTGTTATCAGATATCTCTTTTACAAATATATTCGCCACAATTCTGGCTTGTCTTTTTATTCTCTTGACATTATCTTTTGCAGAGCAGAAAATTTTAATTAAAATAAATTGGTTTTGTTTTTGGTCACACCCAACGAAGCTCAGGGCTTACTCCTGGCTCTGCACTCAGGAATTACTCCTGGTGATGCTCAGGGGACCACATGGGTCAGCCGTGTGCATGCCTGTAAAGCAAACGCCCTACCTGCACCAACACCCACCCAGCAAAAAAAAAAAGTGTAAATAGCAAAACATAGAAATGTGACAGGCTGAATCCAAGATCAACTTACTAAAATCAAACTATCAAAACTGTGTAATATAGGGGGCTGGAGCAATAGCACAGCGGGTAGGACATTTGCCTTGCACATGGCTGACCCAGGTTCGATTCCCAGCATCCCATATGGTCCCCTGAGCACCACTAGGGGTAATTCTTGAGTGCATGAGCCAGGAGTAACCCCTGGGCATCTCTGGATGTGACCCAAAAAGAAAAAAAAACTGCAATATGTAGGAGCCAGAGAGACAATAAAGCAGGTAGAACATTGTCTTGCATACAGCTACATTGGGTTCAACTCCTGACACTACACAGGTCTCTTAAACCCCATCAGGAATGATTCCTGAGCACAGAGCCAGAAGTGAGCAGTGAGCACCGTTGGGTGTGGGCTAAAAACAAACAAAAAAAAACGAAAATGGCTTCTAAATTAAGGAAGCAACAAACACATTGGCTGGAAATTTGTAGTTTGGATGCTCTGACAACCCTCCCTGTTTCTTTTGGCTTTGATTGGACTAAGAGATGTTCTGTGAGAGGGAATGATAGACACTGAACGATCTCACTCATATGGGGGATATGAAGAAACAAAGGAGGGTGGGGGCTGGAGTGATAGCACAGTGGTTAGGGCGTTTGCCTTGAATGCGGCCAACCACGGTTTGATTCCCAGAATCCCATATGGTCCCCCAAGCACCGCCAGAGTGCAGGATGTCACCCTGGTGCATCGCATCGCAGGGTATGACCCAAAAAAGCAAAAAAAAAAAAAAGAAAGAAAGAAACGAGGGGAATAACTAATGCCCAAAGATGATGGAAACAAAGAACAGGAGAACAAATCCCTAGTAGAAGGTTTGTGTGGTCAGGGAAGGTACCCTACTGAGAACAGGGGTAGGTCACTATGCACCATGAGGTGGAAGTGGTCAGTACCCTATCAGTAACCACAGTGCCTAAAATGGGGGAGAAAAAATGAATAGAAGAAAAAATGCCTGACATCAAAGCAGGCTGGGAGGCAGGAGGGAAACTAGAGAATTGGTGGAGGGAAGTGGACTCTGATGAAGAGATTGATGTTCAAATACTGTATGCGAATAAGTTGTAACTTTGTAATTCATTCTGATTTTTTAAAATACCTATGTGCTGACAAGAATCCCAGACCATCCTGGCCAGATAGAACTGGTCAATAAAGATTGCAGTTAAGATTGCACAGTGAGCCAAGTCTCTGACTTAGTCATATATCTTGTTATCAGACAAAAACGTGGACTGTGGGTCTGGAGAAAAAGCAAAGGGCTGGAAAGCAAGCTTTGCCTGCACCAGGCTGCAACGGAATGCTGCGTTTCCCCCACAGAGGAGGCAAGCATGGGCTATTTTCCCTAACCCTAGCAGATTCCAACTGACCATCTCATAGGCCGGGAAGGCATCCCTACATCTTCCTCCTTTCTGGTTCCATCTCAAAATGCAGGAGTTGTGTGGCTGTGTAGATAAAAAAGGGATGATCTTGGAGGCAGGAAGGACAGAAAGGAGGCTGGTACATAGACCAGCTGCCCTTTTGTCCATCACTCGCCATAAACTCCATTTACACATCAGGAGTTTAAGATTCACATCTCTGCCCTCCTAATCTGTTCACACCTCGTAGGCATTAGCTGAATATCTTCTTTTTATGCAGAGATTGCAGGCATTTTATCTGCCTAATGTTAAACGATAGCACAGCAGGTAGGGAATTTGCCTTGCACGCAGCCAGGTCGGCTGACCCAAGTTCAATTCCTCCATCCTTCTTGGAGAGCCCAGTAAGCTTCCGAGAGTATCTCGCCTGCATGGCAAAGCATGGCAAGCTACCTGTGATGTTTTCGATGTGCCAAAGACAGTAACAACAAGTCTCACAATGGAGACGTTACTGGACCCACTCGAGCAAAAGCAATGAACAACGGGAGGACAGTGCATTGCTAATGTTAAACTTCATATGCCAGTACCCAGTGCTATGTTAACACTAGGGAAGTAACCAGAAAACGTGTGTTGAATGTTTGGGAGAATAGATGAATGGCTGATGAATAGATGGATGGATGGGTTCATGGATTGATAAAATCATAGAGATAAAAGTTCTGTCCTGTCACTAAACTGGTATTTAATTTATGTCTTTTTGGATCAATTATTTCCTGAAAAAGCTGAAGGTTTCAAAGTACCTTGGCAGTGGCATAAATGCCAGCTGTCTCCTCAAGACCCCTAAAACAGCATCCACATTTCCCAGATCTTTCTCAGCAGAGCCCTGCTGTCAGGGCCCCAAATGTCCCCTAATACACACCTGGTCCTTGGGCTCTTGACTGACCAACCAGAAGAGGAGAAGGTTGTTACAGGTGACATTCACTTCTGGGAGAGTTTCTAGATAAGTCTTCAGAGTGGTGGTCCCCTTTGTCTGGGGTGGGGGCTGCCTCATAGATGATGGGGCATTAGGCATCCAGGCCCCAAAGTCATGCTGTGGAGACAACACACACACACACACACACACACACACACACACACACACACACACACAGAGCATTGAGCAATCTGGGAAGGGGAAAGCTCCCTTATCATCATTCCTAATCCTGATTCTGTTCCCCACCATCCCAGATATGACAGTTTGGAAGTCAGGGGATGATGAAAAGTAAACAGAGGAAGGAATATAGGATAGAAAGTTCTAGAAGTTGGGAAAAAGCATGCCTCGCCCTTTGTCACTCCTACCCAATATTCCAGGACTGGGTGGAGTGAGTCACCAGGGAAGGAGAATGTCCCAGAAAGGAGGAACCCTAGGAAAGGGCCTTGGGCTAGCGTATCAGACACTGATACTCCACCTAGTCAGGTCCCAACCAGAACAACCCATAAGTTATGCTCTCTACACAATACCAACTCAAGCCACCATTACGAGTTTGAACCAGCTCCAACCCAGTCATCATTTAACACCAATACTTCACTCCACCCAGTGGCTACTCCAACCCCAGCCATAATCATAAGCCCTTCCCAACCCAGACCCACCCATGTTCTCAACACAAACTGGCCTCGCGTCCATTGGTGAGCTCATCTGCATGGCCCAAGCAACCGTCTACAGCCTCACCTGTCCACTGTTGACAGCAGCATGTTGAGCAGAGCAGTTAAAGATGATTGCAGTAAGGAACTTCACCAGCTCTTTGGGGGTGCACAGCTTGCATGGGAATCCTGGGTGTGGAAGGAAAGGAATAGGGTGGGGTGGAAGATTCCTAGGAATAACACAATGTTGGGGCTCACCGCAGGGAAAGAGTGAGGAAGTGACATCTTAGGATTTGGTCATTGTCTTTAGACTAAGATTAAAGTTGGGCTGGGATCATCACACAGATTGATGATCTCTGAAGGGTGCCAGGATAGAAGCTAGGGCCAGGAGAGTGCGCAGAGGAGAAAGTATATGTTTCACATGCAGAAGCCCCAGGTCTGAATCCTCGAACCCATGGTCCCTGAGCACCAAGAGAAGTAACCCTGGTGTAGACCCTGAGCACCATAGGGGAAGGGTGAAAAACCAAGGATGAGGGGTCAGCAAGATAGTAGATGGGTATATGGTGCTTGCCTTGCACATGACTGGCCTGAGTTTGATCCCTGGCTCCCTAGATATTCCCCCAAGCTCACTAGGAGTGATCCCTGAGTGCAGAGCTAGAGTAAGCCCTAAGCACCAGTGTGGCCCTCCAAAAAACAAAAATAAATAAATGAAAGGAACGTGTGGAGAGTGTTCGTAAGCATGGCTGTAGCTGGAACCGGAGGTCTTCGGCTGCTGGGGCTCTGCTCGGGATGGGGAGCACCCACACTCTCCACACGTTTGGACGAGCCTCACGCATGAAGGAACCGGCAGAGGAACCCAGATGTGCGGGACCCGGGGCGTAGATCTCCAAGCCTGCTCGGATTGGGACGGGGGCCTCCTCCACCCAGATCCCCCACCTTCCAGTATGTAGGCGTTACATCCACCAACTGCCCCCAGTACCATGTAATCCCATTAACGGCCAAGACCCAGAGACTACAAAACACTGCTCCTGGAAGCGCACAGCTGCATTCACAGCCGCGCAACATCTTATTATCTAGTTTTTACTCTGGAGAACCTGGCAGGCTACCAAAAGTATCCTGCCCACACGGCAGAGTCTGGCAAACTCCCCGTGGAGTATTCAATATGCCATAAACCAGTAACAATGATGGGTCTCATTCCCCTGACCCTGAAAGAGCCTCAAATGTGGCACTCTTTAAAAGCTCAGGGCTAGGACGAAGGAGACATCCTAGCCCTGGGGCCTGGGGCCTGCTCAGGCAATCGATGAACAACAGGATGACAGTGACAGTGAAATAAAAGGAGGGAGAGGAAGGGAGGGGATGGAAATCTCCAGACTTTCTCAGGGTCAGGATGGCCCAGTTAAAAAAGCTACTCCAGGGGGTTGGAGTGATAGCACAGCGGGTAGGGCGTTTGCCTTGCACGCAGCCGACCCGGGTTTGATTCCCAGCGTCCCATATGGTCCCCTGAGCACTGCCAGGAGTGATGAGTGATTCCTGAGTGCAAAGCCAGAAGTACCCCTGAGCATCGCCAGGCGTGACCCGAAAAGCAAAAAAAAAAAAAAAAGCTACTCCAGCCTTACCTTCCCAATAAAAATACTGAATGCCCTGAACAAACACGATGACTTCTTAGTACCTGTATTGCAAACCATAATACACAAAAGGAGAGAGAGAGAGAGAGAGAGAGAGAGAGAGAGAGAGAGAGAGAGAGAGAGAAGAGGAGTGCCTGCCATAGAAGTAGGCTGGGGGGCCGGGGGATGGTGGGAGGAAGATGGGGAACATTGGTGGTGGGAGATGTGCACTGGTGGAGAGATGTGTGTTGGATCATTGTGTGATTGAAACTTAATCATGAACATCTTTGTAATGATCTATCTCACTGATATTCAATAAAAAGTTTTTAAATACTAATTTAAAAAAGGAAGGGGACAGGGCTGGAGTGATAGCACAGCAGGTAGGGCATTTGCCTTGCACGCGGCCGACCCGGGTTCGATCACACCCAGCGTCCCATATGGTCCCCCAAGCATGGCCAGGAGTAATTCCTGAGTGCATGAACTAGGAGTGACCCCTGTGCATCGCTGGATGTGACCCAAAAAAGCAAAAAAAGAAAAAGGAGGGGAGGGGAGGGAAGAGGAGGGGAGGGAAGAGGAAGGGAGGAGAGGGGAGGGGAGGGGAGGGGAGGGGAGGAGAGGAGAGGAGAGGAGAGGAGAGGAGAGGAGAGGAGAGGAGAGGAGAGGAGAGGAGAGGAGAGGAGAGGAGAGGGGAAGGGAGGGGAGAAAAGGGAGGGGAGGGCAGGGGAGGACTGGCTTATGACCAGAATATGCCCAGCCAGCAGGGCAAAACAGGGGAGTGAGTTAAGGCTGAAGCCAAGCTAAGCTGCCTTTCCCTATCCGCCAAGGCGTTATTGTCTGCTACACATAATAGCATGTAATGATTTACATTGCCCAACCCCTCAGGATTTCTCTGAGCACCCATCACTAGGTCATGTAACTTACATGTTCACAGTGATGGATAGAGAAGTAGGATTGTAAGGCCTTGGCTCTTTGAGGAGTACAAGGAAGAAGCACACTGGGTTAAGTAGTTAGGAAAGTCTCTGTAGAAAGAGAGGTTGAACTGAAAAGCATGTGAGTTTTGAGTGGAAGAAAAAGATAATGGAAAATATATCTTCAGGCTCAGCCCTTGGTCCTTTGGTCTCCAATCCTCTCTGATCTTATTCAATCTAAGACTTAACCACATCCCACTGATGGAGACTCCCAAATCCACATCTCCACCTAACTCCCGAGCCTAGATGCAGAAGTGGATATAAACAAATACTAGCTGACATCTCTCGCTAAGCGACGTCTCACTAAGACATTTCAGACTTAATATTTATAAAAACTGATTTTTGACTCCTCAAACCTGTCCCTCCCACCATGCTCCTTAGTCCTCCCTACCTAGTTGCCAAGGTCAAAATCTGAGCATCTCCTTACCTCCTATTGCAAGCACTTCAGAAGCCCAGCTCACTGCCCTCAGTCTCTGTTGTCTCAGTTCTGAATAAATCATATCGCCTCCAGCCTTGCCCCATCAGGCTGTTTTTCCCATAACAACCAGAGTGGATTTCTAGAATCATAAGGATTTTGGTGGGGATTTTTGTTGTTGTTTTGGGTTTTGTTGCTGTTATTGTTTGGAGGGCGGGGAGGGTTGTTTTTCTTTGTACCACACTCAGCAGTTAGAGGTTAGGGCTTAGGGATCACTCCTGGTTCTGCACTCAAGCATCACTCCTGGTGGGCTCAGGAGACCATATGGGATGCCAGGGATCAATCCCAGGTTGACCATGTGCAAGGCAAGTGCCCAATCCCCTATACTATCTGTCAGGCCCCTAGATTCATAAGTTTTATTGTGGCACCACTTGCTAAAATTCTCACAGACTTCCCACGGCATTAATACAACATGTCCCTGTTTGATGTGGCTTTTGTTCATTCTCTGACTTCTCTCTCTCTCTCTCTCTCTCTCTCTCTCTCTCTCTCTCTCTCTCTCTCTCTCTCTTCCAGCTACACAAGCCTTCATGATAGTTCTCAACCCCACCAGCATGCTTGCACCTCAGGGCCTTTGCCTATACTCCTTCACCTCAGTTATCCATAAAACTAGCTCTCTCATTTCCTCTATTCTGCTCAGAAAGGTTTTCCGATACCATATATCTGAAACCCATCTTCCAGTATGTAGGTGTTACACCCACCGACTGCCCCCCGGCGCCATGTAATCACATCAACAGCCAAGACCCAGAGACTATAAAACCCAGCTCCCGGAAGCACGCGGCCACATTTGCGGCCGTGTGGCATCTTATTATCTAGTTCTTACTCTGGAGAACCTGGCAGGCTACCAAAAGTATCCTGCCCGCACGGCTGAGTCTGGCAAACTCCCCGTGGTGTATTCAATATGCCAAAAACCAGTAACAATGATGGGTCTCATTCTCCTGACCCTGAAAGAGCCTCAAATGTGGCACTTTCTAAAATCTCAGGGCTAGGATGAAGGAGACGTTACTTATGCCTACTTGAGGAAATCAATGAACAACAGGATGACAGTGACAGTGATACAGTGATATACCTGAAATAATCTCCCTCCCCCAACACCCTTTTACTAAATGCTATTACATCTCATTCTTCTTAACACTCATAACTACCTGGCATATGTTTGTATTTATTATCTTATATCCCTACAAGAATATTAAGCTCCATAAAGGCCAGAATTTTTGCCGTGATATTCACGGCTGGACCCCAGCATCTAGAGCAGTACTTATTACATGTGAAAAGCCCAGTGATGATTTCTTGAATGCAGTGGAGCCAGAATGGGAAGGAATGGGGCATAATCTAGGTAAGGGGACAGGGAGGGGACTAATTAGAGGTAAGGCTACCAGAGTGTGCCAGGACAGGTGATTTCAGAGGATTACTGGGGTGGTGGCCCCACAGGCTGAGGCTGGGAGCAGTGGGACAAGTTGAGAAGCAGCTGCCACAATGCAGTTATGTGAGGACTGGGACAAGGGTGGTGACAGTGAGAAATGATGTGGGCAATAGGCATGAGACACCCAACTGGATCTAGGAAGAGAGAAACATGAGTCAAAGGTGGCTCTGAAGTCTGGAGTCAGAATGACTAGAGAGAAACTGACGCAACGGAAGAGGGACAAGGTCTGGCCTGGAAGGAATTTTCCAAATGCCCCATCCATGGTTAATATTCTAACTTTGAGTAAAAGAACTAAAAGTACAAAGGCAAAGAAATCAGACTGGAGTTCTCCACAGTCTAGTGCCTGTGGTATCAGGATGCACAACTTTCCCTTTTTTTGCTCACTTTGAGCCACACATGGTGGTGCTTGGGGACCATATGTGGGAATTCGAATCAGGGCCACGGCCATGTGGCCACATGCAGGGCTCTCTCTCCGGTACTAGCTCTCCAGCCCTTCTTTACTTGGCATATTTCACCCAAGGCTATGCTGCGTCTCTCCTGCTTTATAGCACTGAACCCTGGGGTAGCTTATGTCCTTCATTAGAGCAACAATTTCCTTTACTTTTGGTTTTAATTCTCTTTCTCTTTGTCGGCCATGTTGGCTGCGTGCAAGGCAAACGCCCTACCCACTGTGCTGGGCTGGAGCGATAGCACAGCGGGTAGGGCGTTTGCCTTGCACGCAG